AAGAGTCAGCTTTCATAACAACAATGTTGCTGGTACAGGGTGGGCACGATCAGAAAACAGTGTGGAGATAGTCCAGCAGGTGTCAGCAGAGAACCAACTTTCCTTACTCCAGCGCTCACTTGGGAGGGAGGCTGTGCTCAGGCCTGGTGCACTGGGACAGAACTGACAAGATTCTGCCGTGCATTCCAAGGCTATCCTAATTCTGGTGTGGTGAGTGGGCACACTGGGTCCACTGAAATAGGGACAACCTTTGGACTTTATCTACAAAGTCCTTCTCATTGACTCCAGGATCCTTAATCCTCAGAAGATCTCTCCCCATTCTGGTCTTCTGTTCTGAGCTGAGTCCCTCCTCTGCCCTCAGACCTGTGCTCCAGCTTGGAAAACTTGTCTCAATTTTCTTTGCGTTATTTGTTTAGAGAAGTATTGTTTGGGGAGTAACTTTCATCTCTCCCTCTGAAATCTGGGGTTGTTTTGAATATATAATTTTTTAAACCTGGAGTTAGTTCGGCAACAAATCCAACTTCTCCAAAGTATATGGCTAATGTATTGGGAGCAGGAAAGCAGTTTCCAGCAACCAAATAGTAGCCTATGGAAGAAAGTATTCAATTTTGTACATGCTATAGATGATCTYTCATATTTTATCTTGTGGGAACATGAAATAATCACAAATACATGTGCACTTATGTTATAATGTGCCATGTCACAATAGATCTATTGTAGGTACTTTAAAGACTTGAGGAAAAGAGTAGAGGCCTAGAAAAATAGAAAAATCCAAGCACTGTGGTGTGTGTGTGTGTGTGTGTGTGTGTGTGTGTGTGTGGTGTCTATTGCAGGTCCCTAGAATTCTAAATCCTAGTATCTAGAACCCACAAAGAACAGAAATCCTGTATCCACCACTAAATGTCAATGAAGGGCCCAGTGGTCTATAAATCTTCAGCTGACAGAATGACAGGCAAAATGTACACAGATTCCTACATGCTACAAATCTCTGAGATTCTTAAATAGCCAAGTAAGCTGTGTTTCCTTTTCCTTTTCGACTGGGAATATTTACTTCCATCTCTTTTTTTGAAACCAGTAGGCTCCATATTTTAAGTAATATTTAAATTTAAGGTGGGGTGGTAATCCAAGTGTACAGAGCAACCACCTTGCAAGAAAACATTTTTAAAAAGCAGATGGCAGAGCTGGCCAGTTTAAACCCATCCAGAATTACCTTGCACTCCTTAATAAACAAAAATCCAGCATTCACTTTCATTGATTTTTTTTTTTTTTTTTTATGTTCCTGGGACTAGGACAAAAAAATTTGCACTGGTGATTTAAGTATGAAGGCTCTGAAGACCAGTGAGAATCAATGGATGATGAGACCCATGGCTTGTCTAACTTATTGCATAAGCCCCTGATTCAGGTCTCTGCCTTTCATTTCTAAATCCCTGTAAACCATGTTGTTAAATTACAAACGGGACCTTCTTTGACTCTGTCCATTTCAGTACAAAATAGTCTTTGGCTCTGTCTACCCAGGAGGAGAAAAGAGGAAAGCTGCAAGTGTAGAGACAACAGTCAGAAATGATCAGAAATCCTCGCTAAAATGTGGCATCTTTAAAAAAAAAAAATGCGGCTACATGTGGGTTCAGGCTGCACGGACCAAGTTCAAGTTAAGTGGGTTTAACCGGGCCCTTTTCTTTTCCTCGCAGTTACCAGGCCCCAGGGAGCCTTTGCCTCTCTACCCCTCTCAAATAGATCTGGGCCAGTTCATTTTGCCACAGCCCGGAGCCGCTCGGAAAGCAAAGATTAAAGGGGAAAGTCGCGGCTGTATATTTATATTTTCATTGCTAGAAGGGAATTGATTTCCGCGCATTTATTTTGGTAGTTGTAATACACAAGGGCGGATTTGCGTCACCCGAGCAACTTGCCGGTGGAGATAAAGTTGCACAAATATTGAAAGGGGAAGTGCTAGGAGTCATTATAGAGTTTTTCTCCGGAAGAAATAAGGATTTCTGCAGTATCCTAAAATACTAAGGCTGCTTCTATTTTGAGACCAATCTCGCAGGCACATCCGCTCATTTAGTCCGAGTTTGAGCCCATCAAAAAACAGGAGATGACCTGAACTCAGGCGAGCCCTGGGCTTCCTGCCGCTTTCTTGGTTTGGAGGGGTAGGGAACAGGCAAGAGGAAAGAATCTAAGGGCTCAGACCAGGGCGAGCGGCCTATCGGGGAGAGGCTTGGAATTGGGGAATAGGGTGGTGGGGATCGCCCCAAAAGCTTCCCTTTCGCCTTTGATTCTGGGAGCTCTGGTATGCCCTGGGTGGCGCTGATGCGGTTGTAGTGAGGCCGAAGGCCTGGGAGAGCAGAAAGGCGCACGGGCGGGCGAAGTTGCAATTTGCTATTCTGCCGCGGACCTTGCAGAGAAAGAGGCGCGCGGCAGGACGAGGAGTCGGTCGGGAAACCAGCCCTCCCGTCCTCTCTTTTGTGGCRTTTGCCAGCGCTTCAAGTCTGGAAGCAGGGCTTTTGCGGGTCATGGACCGCGCAGGGAACTTGAGTCTGCATCCCGAGCTCGCCCCGGGAGGGTTTCAAGATTTGGAAAGTGTGAAAAGGGGCGGGGAGTCTTACTTCTAGGCGAGGAGGTGAAGGTATGGCGCCGCTTGGGGTGAAGCATAAATGGACTTCTTTTAGAGAAGCTCAAAGTTTGGGCTTAGACCACGGTGTGAAAATTTACAGTCACACTGGAAGAGCAACCGAATTGGAAGAGGCACTAGAAAAGAGAGGAGAGGGCTCAGGGCCACCCCTACATACATTGGCTAGTGACTTTCCCTGGGACCTGTGAAACTGCAGAAAAGCTGTCCTCCTAACCAAAGCACACCAGAACCCTTGGCCAAGGCCTCCAACGGCCAGTACTTGTTACTTCTTTACCTCCAGCCAGACAGGACTTTTTGGCTCTCTCGCTTCAGGTGCCTCTGCCCTCAACTGACCACACTCCTCCTTGGTGGAAATATCACCTCCGACCTCTCTGTGAAACAGCAGGGCAAGAAAAACCCTTTAATAAGAGAGTGAAGAGGGGAGGGGAGAGGAAGAAAAAGTGAAAGAAATATGAAATGARTGTTAGTGTGTTAGATAGCAAGTGATTAGTTATTGATTACTTTTCAGGAGAAAGTCTAAAGCTTGAAATGACAGCCTCTGTGACAAGGGGTAGAAGCCACTAGAAATTAATAAGACCACGCAAATCCTGAATTTGAGATAGGAATGGCAAGTTCACTTGTATTTGGGGCTTCACTTTGTGTTTAAGGAAAATAAAAATGCCGAAGAACTTTTGTTAGGAGATGTTTATTAGGACAATCGAAAACAAAAGATTTCGTGGTTTCATTATTGTTATTATTTTATTTTCTTCCTGAAAATGTGCAAGAACAGCTCATCTGGGTGGCCTGTGGTTTGTTTGGGAGAGGGGTGGGGAAATCCATTCTGACTATAATTTAAACGAGAACGAATTCTTAAAATAGAGATGTTGATGTTGCAGAAACCCTCCCCCTACTTCTACCCACCCTGCGTTCTAAGACCCAAAGCACGAATCAAAGGCGTTGGCCACCACTGCAGCTCCTCCTGCGACCAGGCCAAAGGGGATCTTGGGAGAAACTGTCACTGAATTGAAAGTAGAATTTAACCCCAAGGAAATCTGCTCAGGAGGGCACTTGCAAAACAACACACCCCACGTGACCCGAGGATGTGGCGGTGAAGGGAGGGTGGCATTTCCTACAAGGTACTGCAGAGGAGGGGACATGCTTTCTGTACTCCCGGGTTTCGGAGGTCGGCTGTTGTCTCAGGCTCCGGGGAAGCGTTGCTGTGTCTTAGGGAGTCGTTCGGAGCCATCCATCTTATTTTGTTTGAAAAGTCACTAGTTCAAGTTGTCATTAGTGTGACAGTTCAAAATAAAACTAATTCGCGGCCTCCCCTCCTCCTGGTTTCTCTGAGGACTCCCCGGAGGCAGCGAGGCGGACACTTTGGTGAGTTGGGCCACGACTCAGAGCCGCAGTATCCAGGCAGAGGCCCAGGAAAGATGGCTGTTGGGATAAAAACAAAGTGAAGGAAAAATCCGACAAGAGTGAGGGAAAAAAAAGGGGGGGGGAGGGAATCCAAGGGACCGCCAGTTCTCGCGGTTCTCCACCGGGAGACACACTGTGCACCGGATAAAGTGCAGGAGAACCAGCTCTCCCCCTTCTGGGCCGGCGGTCGAGCGCTCCAGTTATCAACTCTCCTCGCCCGGTGGCGGTCAGAGCTGCAGAAGTTAAAATTAGTTGCCGCTGGAGCCGCCGCCCAGCCTCTACGCAGCTGAGGGACTCGCAGGACCCTGCACAGCCCACGCGGCCGCTGAAAACACTTTGGCGTGGCCGGGGGCGTGGCTGAGGTCGGGCCACGCCCCCTCTTTCCCAATTCCCTTCCACGCCTGTATCCCATTGGTTACGGGGAGAGCCAATGAGCTCTTGGATCGAGGTCCTACCCCGGGTCTGACTCGAAAGCTCCTGCCAAAACTTGGGGAGTTTTTAGAGAGGAGATTTTTTTGTTGTTGTTTTCCCCCCCTCCTCCTCTTAATACGGTTTTTTTTTTTAAACTAACGGATTATTTTTGTTGTTTTAAATTTAGCTCTTAGGCTTAGCTGTTCGGGTTTTTCTTTCGGTCACCGGCCCCTGTCTCCCGGCTTCTCCCGCGTGTACCGAGCCGCGGTCCCCTCCCGCCTAGTAGTGGCTCCAGCGCTCAGTGTTCGCCTCTGTCCCGCGAGGAGCGCCGGCGCCGCGCCGCCTTTGACATAAGACCCGGGGCCGAGACGGTGACCGGCCAAAATCTGGCCCCCGCCTCCTCCGTCCGAGGCGCTAGGGCTCCCGGCCTCTCTTCTTCAGGGCGGGCGGAGAAGCGAAAGCGGATCGTCCTCCCCGGGGCCGCCGCCCCTCCCCGCGCACCCACCCATTCACCCACTCCCTGGGTCAGGCCCGACAGCGGCCGCCGCGCGGCTCACCCGGCCAGTATGTTCGCGGCCGGGCTGGCTCCTTTTTATGCCTCCAATTTTAGCCTCTGGTCGGCCGCCTACTGCTCCTCGGCCGGCCCGGGTGGCTGCTCCTTCCCCCTGGACCCTGCCGCCGTCAAGAAACCCTCCTTCTGCATCGCAGACATCCTACACGCCGGCGTGGGGGATCCAGGGACGGCTCCAGAGGGACTGGTGGGGGCTTCAGCTGCCGCCCTAACCGCGCACTTGGGCTCGGTTCACCCGCACGCCTCCTTTCAAGCTGCCGCCAGATCCCCGCTCCGTCCCACCCCGGTGGTGGCGCCCTCCGAAGTCCCGGCTGGCTTCCCGCAGAGGCTGTCTCCACTTTCAGCTGCCTACCACCACCATCACCCACAACAGCAGCAGCAGCAGCAGCAACAACCTCAGCAACAACCTCAGCAACCGCCGCAACAGCAACAGCCCGCACCTCCKACCCGGGCCGGCTCCCTGCAGACCTCGGCCTCGGGGACCCGTGTGATCCCGCACCCTAGCGGCTTGACACCGGCTCCCTCCAGCAAAGACCTCAAATTTGGAATTGACCGTATTTTGTCTGCAGAATTTGACCCCAAAGTCAAAGAAGGCAACACCCTGAGAGGTAGGTCTTTGGTGGAAGACTTCAGGCCTCCATGATCACAACCTTGTCCCACTCCCAAGGCCTCARGCCAGTTTTGGAGGAGGTGCGGTTCAGTGTGTTTATAATTAAGGACCACTCAGTAAAATAGGGGAGAAGAAAACGAATCATAAGAAAATTACAGAACATTAAGTCTAAAACTCACCTACTCTCTGGTTAAAAAAAATATGCCTGGGATGCTTCAAAATCACAAGATACAGAATGAATATTCATATAACGGTCGGTGTAAATGTTTGCAAAAATTACTATACTTTGTCTTATGAACCGTATTTAGAGAGAGAACTATATATTTTTTTCTGTCTAGGAGAGCCTTGTTGGGGAACAGCTTTCCTCTCCATTTATCTGATTTCATCCCCAGCAACACACACACACACACACACACACACACACACACACACAAATTCATTTATCTGATTTCTCATAATATTCTACCCAAGCAATGTAGATAAATAAAATTGACCCTTGAGGGTAGACAGCTGAGTGGGGATGGAGATTTGGGGTCTGTAAAATTCCTGGAAGTCTCCTGAATGTGACTTCCTTAAGGCTGTTTTCATGGAAAGCCATATATGTGGGTGTGGACATGAGGGACACACAGTAACATTCCCAGCATTGCTCTTTGGGGACTGTGGTGGGGAGGGAAGGTTTCCTCATGGAGAGAGGGGTCTCTCTGGACTTGCTCCAGTGAATCCAGGGTGTGGGGAAGAACAGGAACAAATCTCTGAAGAGTGTGCATTTGCCTATGTAACCAACTATTTTCCTTGTTCCCAGATCTCACATCCCTGCTAACTGGTGGACGACCTGCAGGAGTGCACCTTCCAGGCCTGCAACCCTCCGCTGGCCAGTTCTTCGCATCTCTAGATCCTATTAATGAGGCTTCTGCCATCCTCAGTCCCTTAAGCTCCAACCCAAGAAATTCAGTTCAGCATCAATTCCAAGACACATTTCCAGGTACCAAAAACATTCGAATTATGGCCCAAGCAGCAGGACATGTGACTGTCAGAAATCTCAGGACTGATTCCTCAAGTGGCAGACACAGTGTTGCAATTCTTTAATTGGGGTGGGAGAGGCTACCAAGTCTGGAGAAAGAAATGAGGAAGATTTCTCCTCAAGCTAGAGCTAGCGCTTGCTTTAGACAGCTGAGAGTGGAAGAGAATGGAGGGAAAGGGGATGGGGGGGGCAAGAAAGTGTGTGCAATGGCCGGTCACTGGGTGGGGGTTTTCCCTAGTTTTTTTTTTTTTTTTTTTTTAAGGATAGATTTGTGAATGAAGCCTCAAAAGATGTTGCTTATTAAAATACACACATTTGGGGGGTAACTTCAAACACTCCTGCTTTTAAGAGGTTTTGAATGCGTCGGCACATGAGGGAGTACATACACAAAGTAAAATTTAGGGGTGCCATCCCTAGATCCTTGATGTCTCAGGGATGTTTTAATCTACTCTTTGCATGCCCAAATATTAGGATTATTTTTTTCTTGGAGTTGATTGACAAGCTACTTGGCTTTCCCACTCCACCCTTGCTTTAAGCTTTCTGACTATCATTCTAAGAGCTGTGAAATTCCTCCTTAGGAAAGGCCATTCAGTGAGTGTGGAGCCAACTGTTAATACAAAACACTTTTAAGCAGCCCAGTGAGACAGGCCTGCAGTTGTCTCTCTTCCCTCTCTTACCTTCTGCTCCAACTCCGTGGTAGGTCCCTATGCTGTGCTCACTAAGGACACCATGCCACAGACATACAAGAGGAAGCGGTCTTGGTCGCGCGCAGTTTTTTCCAACCTGCAGAGGAAAGGCCTGGAGAAAAGGTTTGAGATCCAGAAGTACGTGACCAAGCCAGACCGAAAGCAGCTGGCAGCAATGTTGGGCCTCACAGATGCACAGGTAAGTCAGCCAGGGATCCAGCACATAGTGCCCTACGGGGTGGGCGGGCAGCAGCCCGTATCCTATCTCCTCAGTCCCCCTCAGTCCCCACCAACTCACCTTTTGAAATCAAAACACAGTGTCTTGAATTAAAGGAGGTTTTGTGAACTTGCAAAATTGAGGCAGGAGGAGAGGAGGGTGGGGTAGTGGTGAGGGAGAACTAGGAGGAGAATTGTTCATCCCCGAAGATGTCAACAAGCAGTATATGTTTATTTTGGCCAACAGGCAAAAGAACCACTGAGAAAGCAAATAGACTGCGGGAGATGATAATTATGTACTCAACTGGAGTGCAGTTCGCTATAGGAGGCAGTTTATTTCAGAAGAGATAAAAGCCCAAAGTCAAGAGATTGTTGTTGGTTTTTTTAAAATTTAATTTTATTTTCCTTCTGCCCTTCCTCCTCCTCTGCTGCTGCTGGATTGTGAAATCCCTAGTTGTGAGGAAGTGAAAATATCATTTCAAACGGAATTACTTAGCTCCAGTAGGGTYGGCTTCTAGCGGCCACAGGTCCAAGTTCTAACGGCTTTGGCTCTGTAGGATGTCTCTGTGGTGGGGGTTGGGGTGTCAAGAAAGAAAGTTTTCTTAAAATGCCTAAGAGAATTTCAGCAGGTTCTATCTACTTGAATCCCCCCCCCCCAAGACAATAGGAAACCTATTGTACCTGAATTAGTTTTCTTTTTCTTCGATTCAAGAACTGTCCTTTCCTTTCCTTTTCTTTCTCTTCTTCTTTTAGCTTTGACTTCSGGAGAGACACCTCGTTCCACCTATCTCAGCAGTAGCTCTGGCTCACTGTCACCAGCAGGGCAGAAGCCAAAGTTAGCCTTCTTTTTCTTAGATCCCTGATGGTCCCCTGACTTATCTCTGTATCTTTCTGTTCTCCATTACACAACTCGGCTCCCCAGTGTGCGTGGCGTGTGCATGCATTTCCCCCCCTTACACACACACTGGAGGAGCCCAGCCGTTTTCCACCAGCTGTGGWTGTTATTTTTAAAAGGGAAGCTGGAACTTGTGTGGACGAGTTGGGTCCCCCAGGGAATCATATATTTATATAGATTCTCTGCTCCATCTTTTACCCTCTTCTTCCATTTTGCTCACGTTAATTCCAGCATTTTCTGATCCCCAAGAAAGATTAGTTTATCCCTGGCAGAGGCAGGGTTCTTATCAACTCTGGAGTAAAAATATGCCCCCCCCCCAAAAAATCTCTTTTATTCAAAGCCTGGCAATACCCCTACTCAGCTAGGATTAACTCTTTGCACCTCTTTTCTCTTTTGCATCCACTTTTATCCTTTAAAATAATAGCTTTTGCAGTGGCTTGCTTTGGATCATGATAGTACAGGATAGGACCTTGTGGAGAGAAAAATCTTAACATTGTCTCACCAAAAACTTGAGATTCTGTGTATCATCATGGGGACATATCCCTTTTTCTGTGTCAGCAGTCCACAACTTTAATCAGGTTCTTACAGGAGTCCTGACTCAAGTGAGGTCAAGAAACACGGATTTAGAGTAGAGAGCTTTAGTAGATTTAGGGCCAGTTGCAGGAATCTGCCTTTTCAACAAACTATCTAGGTCATTTCAAATCTGAGGTCTGGGGGCCACATTTTGAGAATGGACCTAGTGGGTTCAGTGGTCCAGGATCCCTAGGCTCATTTTAGTCCTTGGCTGCCTCTGGGTCCCTTGTGYTTATATGGGATTTTGGTAACTGCACCTAGTAAGGTGCTTTCACTCTTAGAAGGTGACTGGCAGGTGCAAGAGAGTCAGCCTGTTATTCATCTTGACTCCCTGTCCGGCTCAGGTGAAGGTGTGGTTCCAGAACCGTCGAATGAAGTGGCGCCACTCCAAGGAGGCCCAAGCACAGAAGGATAAGGACAAGGAGGCCGGCGAGAAGCCTTCAGGCGGAGCCCCGGTTGCCGAGGGMGAACAGGAGGAGAGGAGCCCCAGTCGCTCAGAGGGCGAGGCCGAGAGCGAGAGCAGCGACTCCGAGTCTCTGGACATGGTCCCCAGCGACACCGAGCGGACTGAGGGGGCTGAASGATCTCTTCACCAAACAACTGTTATCAAGGCCTCGGCCGCCGGCACCCTCATCGCGGCCAGCAGCGGTGGGAGTGGAGGAGGTAGCGGCGGCAGCAGTTTCAGCTTCGGCAGCGCTAGCAGCCTCAGTAGCACCAGCACCAGCACGGGRAGCGCAAGCAGTCTTGGCAGCGGGGGCAGTAGCACCTCGGAGCTGCTCCCTGCACCGCAGCCCACAGTCAGCAGTGCTCCCAAAAGCCCGGAGCCTCCCCARGTCCCGCTGGGCAGCTTATAGACTTCAGGAGGACTCAGGGGACTCGTGGCTCTACGCAGCCTCCCACATACKGGCTGGATTTTGTGTTGGCGTTGGGCTAGGGCCAGAGATGCAGCAAAGAYTACTCTTCAGTGTTCACTCCATGCCCCTTGGTGCCCGAGCTCAGAGCCCAGAGGCCATAAGTGTGTACCCACCAAAGATTCCTATGGAACTCTTCTCTGGACATGTGCAGCCCACACTGTGAAGTGTTTGAACTGTTCCTGCTCTCCTGCTCGCCAGGGATCGTGGCATAAAGACATGCTGCACTTAAGAAGCCTTAAACTTGTAAATAAAATGTTTACCATGGTTTGTAAAAGGCCCTTGGCTTGCTGGGGTGATCTCCAAGGATCTTTAAACCAAATGTTAGGCCTGAACCAGGATCTTAGGTGGGGGGATGGGGCTTTAGGGGGAAAGAGGTTCAACTTGAGAGCCATCTTGTTGCAGAGATCTGTCTCTAGAGTTAGAGGATTCACCTAATTCAGTGGGTAGGTAGCTAGTGCCAACCATCAGCTAACACGGGTTTGGTCACCCTTTGCATGGCCTGAGAGAAGAATAAAGAGCAGGCCCTAGAATCTGTTAGGCCTGTTCAGCAGATGGTCTCCCCATTCAGAGGCTGGTTGCAATGAGTGTGTATCCCTTGCTTTCCCTGTTCCACAGTGTGCAGGAGAAGTGGAGAAGGCTATGCTCCTGGCTATGCTTCTGTCAATTTAAGGCATGGCAGTACTCTTTAGGTGGCCACTCAGGGCCCTGGCAGGAATCTCTCCCAGTGCAAACTGCTCTTTGCTCAGGGATGGGGTAAAGGACGAGGGGCAGGTCTGTAGTGTCTATTGGAGGAAAGGACAGGAATGCCACAGTTGTTAGRGCTGTAAGCCTGTGTCTGTGCTGGGTTCTGGTTTTAAAGATGCTAAAATAATTTACAGACAAGGAAGTGCCTTGTTAAAGGTTATGCAGAGCCCAAATCAGAATTTAGACTTCTTGGCTCACATTTTGTGAGTAATGAATCTATAAAATTGAACCCTACCACGCTTCATACTATATTGCACAAAATCTTCCTTCTTGTTCCTCTGGGGCAGGCACCCAATTGAGTTATTTCTCTGCCTCATTTCTGCCCCAGCCTCCCTAGAGTTGAGACAGTTTCCCCACTCCACTGCAGCTACAAAATAGTAAACCTAAATCTAATTCACCTTGCTGCTGCTGGTAGGTTCCGTTTTTTTTTTTGCCAAAGGAGGGGGGTCAACCTTTTCCAAGACCTGTTCTTTTCTACTTTCCTTCCCTGGAAATTTATGAAATGTTTAGAGAAGAGCAAAAACAATCCTTTGAAAAAATTTGAAACAAAGAGATGGCCCTAAAAAATTTTTGGCACTGAAAGTTGAGGGAGATAACAAGGTCTCTCACAAATCCAGCATCCTATCATAGGAACTGTATGTCCAGTACTTAGCACGGGGGAGAGATGCTGAGATCAGAGAGCCTAAAATGTGCTCCAGTCTCCAGGCCAAGTGAGAAGGTTCCCAGAGGCTCCAGGGGTCTTGCTTATCGTCTGCCCCATCTTGACTCATTCCCTGGAGCTCCTTCCAGGACCTTGGTACTAGACCTATTGCCCACCCGGATACAGAGCTGTGCCACAGATACAGCCTTCTCTCCCTAGGCTAAGTCAGATGCCTAAACTAATCTCAGAGCAGTAAGCACAGGGATGCAGGGCTGACAATTCTCTGTTCCAATCAACCTCCCAAGCCCCCAAATGGAGCTGAATTCCTGGAGGAAAGAGCCAAATGTAAAGGGGGTTAGGAGCAACCAGGGTTGTCAAGAATAGGGAAGAGTAAATTAAACCCGACCTTGGACTAGCTATTCTAATTGTTCCACAAGAGTTTTTGGGSCAGCAGCAGCCTCCCAATCCTTATGGGCTTCAAGCATCCGGGAGTAGAGGCTCTGGTACCTTAGCTGTGGTATTCTCTCTGTACCTCAGTTTTGCCTTCATTATAGAGAAATGAATCTCTGACTCCCCAAATGTTGAAATTCTGGAACCGAACAAATCAAAGACCATTGACTTTTGAGGCATTTRAACCCAGTTTCCACGTTAAGGAGATGTGCATGGGGGCGCATTTGTGTATATTAACTGGGGAGCAGAGTCCGGCTGGGGAGGAGAGACTGGGAGGGGTTAGGGCTTTATTRCAAACTGTACCCACCTCCACTGCTCGAAGTGCTCTTCGGGAGCTCACTGCTCTCAAAATCCCTGCCGCATTTCTTCTTCATTCCGGGTTTAGAAATTGAAGAAACTAATTACTCCGGGGAGGGTAATGGTGTGATTTCAAGTAGAATTTCGGCCCTACCTCCGCAAGGCTCCACCACACCAAAGGGCGCCGGGAAACTGGGATGAAAAGTAAGCCTGACGGCAGCGGGAATTGGAAGGTCTGGAAGTTCCTCTAGTGCTTCCAGGAGCCCCCCCCCCCCCCGCCTCTGTCAACCCCACCCCTGGTCCCTGAATATTTATCTTGTGAAACTCTTGAAGGGCTTTTCCCGGGTAGACGAGCTTTTCACATTTTCATCAGAAACGGAATATCACAACCTCTGGTGAAGTTTAAAAGTTTATTTGGAGGAAGAGCAGCTGCAGGGCTTAGAATCCTTTCTGGGAGGAAAGGAGGCTTTGGGGGAGGATTGTCCCCCCCCCCCCCACCTCGGGGCTGCTCTTTAGGGCATCGACTATTGGAATCTTTCTGGCAGCGCTCGATCCTGCCTAAGCAACTAGAACTGAGGGTTCTGGGACACGAWAGAGAAGGCTGAGCCTGGTAAATCTGCAGACGCCAGACTTCTGGGCTAGAGCCCGGAGGAGGCGGGTGCGCGTCGGAGAGCCGAGCAGAGCTGAGGCCCGTGTCTTTCACATGCCCCACAGGACTGGAGCTTTTCTCCAAGCAGCAATAACTCCTTTCTCCGAGCAGGGATCTTGCTCGCGCAGCCCTAGAAGTTCCCGCAGCACCAAGCCCTCTGATCATTTTCCCTAGGTGCGCGAAGCACACGGAGGCAAAACCAAAAAAACTGAACAGACCATCGCGTTATTTCGCTGGGAGTCGGGATGGGTGAGAATCCAGTACTCAGTCCCCTTTCCCCGCAGCACTTAAACACACAGATACACACAACAGAAACATAGACTGGAAGAGTCATATAGGAACAAGAGACTGGTACTCAATTGTGGGTGATACCATACAAATTTCCGMGTTCTCCTCCATATGGCAAAGCAACGTGATGAGCCTCATGCTGTCATACTCTGCCTGCGTGGGTGGATGGGATGCTAGTCTCAGTAGAAAAGTTTCCTAGCCCAAGTTCCGCAGACCAAACCATCAAAACCCAGGATGCATAGCCTTACATTTGCTGGCCTCATTGGAGAGGGGGAAGGGACTTAGATGCCAGTAGTTTGTCACTCTTGTTGGACAGTCCCTACCAAGGCCAAAGCACAAGGTCCAGAGAGACATCAAAACCTTTATGGGGGGACTCCTATTGATACACCAGCCCAAGGAAAAGATTCCTTGTCCTCCCCACTACTCTACCCTCTTCAAGTATTGAAATCTTGTGTGTGTGTGTGTGTGTGTGTGTTGCTCAGACTCTGATTGTCACAAATCAGTCTGATCCCTTTGAAACTCACAAAAGACCACAAAGTCCAGTACCTATGAGATTTTTTTTTTTTTTTTTCTCTGACTGCTCTCCCTACCCAGGGTCTGGGTCTGGAGTGGAATGTTGGTGAGGCTTGACTGTGCCCTGCCTAAAGCAGGCTACAMAAGGCAGAATAAGATTGTCCACCTCTTCCAAGCCTTTTCTTTGGGGTCCCAGAGGTCAAAGTAACCTGAGAGTGAACCCAGCTTCTTCTGCACAGACTCACAGCCACTTTCAGGAGCTTAGGGGTCTTAAGGAGGGTTGGGCAGGAACTAGACCTGCARCAGTGGATTTTCTGAGGGTGTTTTAGACTTGAAGTTTAATCTGTGGAGCTTTAACCTATTCCGGGATGTAATCATAACTCRCCCCATGCTGAAGCCAATTTCAGATTCCAGATTGGTGAGATAGGCTTGGGGCTGTTCTGGAGTTATTAACTGTGGAAAAGAGGGCAGAGGCTGAAGTTTTCTCACTCTCCTTTGGTTTTTGTATGTTGAGTCGCCCCTCCAGTTTTTTTTTTTTTTTTTTTTTTTAAGTAATAGGGGCAGGGTAACTACAAGCTTGGTTCTCCCCATAAAATTTAATGGCATAGCATTGAAGATATCCAAGAAGATGCTTAATGCCAGAGGAACACCACATTTCCTTTATTTAGCCTCTGGGGAGTGGGGATACTGCACATTCTAAGGTCTTTGTGAAGATGCAAGTATTGGGTTTAAAGGAGAACTTTAACTATAGATAGTGGGGAGAGGAATAAAAACCTTGATATAACATGTCTTATTTCCAGCTTCCACTTTCGATGTTGTGATGGGATTGGCCAGCAACTCCAAGACTAATGGAAGTCTTTCAGGTCATCTCTTCACCCATGTAGACATTAAAGCTGTGATGCAGCTGCTCTTGGAGAATCCAGATAATTTACACAAGACAGAATACACTTTCTAAGATATCTCCAAGASGGTTTCCAACAGAGCAGCAACATTTGCTGTGATCTCTGCCTCACATAGACAGGCTGGTTTGGAGAACTGCTGGCCCTTGGGTCCCTTTGCTATCCCATATGCTGTGTCATTTTAGAAACCAAGGATATATGTCTCCAGAGCTGCTCCACAGATTTACTTCAGACTCCCTCATCTTAAGGATGTGACCAAGGTCCCCAGAAGAATGAGTAAGAGGAGTAAGATGAGCCTTGGGGTCAATGCCTATTGAGTTCCACAAGAACGTGAAGGCTCCTCCAGGATTCCAGTCCGGATTTTTAAAGCTTAGTTGTTTTTTAAAATAGCKTAGGAGGTTCGGCTGTGGCCAGCCGCGCGACTTTGGGCTCTTGTTAGCTCCTCCCCTCCCCCTCGGTGGTCCCTTTGGGAGTCGCTGATCAGGCTTGGTTTTTCTCTAGTTGACACCCCGCTCTCCAACTTGCGCGCGGTCTCAGGAGCAGGTAAAACTTTGTTAACAGTGATTAGGGCGCYAGTCACACCTTGCTCTGGGACCCTGCGCTATCCCAGGCGCTTTTCAGCTTTTGTTGATGGACGCTGACTCGGGATTCTGGGCAGGACGCAGAGCTCTTGGAGGCCCTTATAGTGCCTGCARAGCATGGGGGCGTTGCTTCCTTCTCTCTCTCCAGAGCCTCGGACTTGCTCTGGAGGCTGGGGATACCAGACCTCCCA